ATGAAGTATGCAAAAATGTTGAAATAGTGAGGTATGCAAAAATGTTGAAAGAATGAAGTATGCAAAAATGTTGAAATAGTAAAGTATGCAAAAATATTAAATAGTGAGGGAAATAGAAATGTATAGGGATGTTATGCACTGTAATCACAACTGCATGTGTGGAGTTTTATTATTTGTGTCTGTTTATACTTTGTGTGTTATTTTATCATTTGTGTCTGTTTATACTTTGTGTGTTATTGTATCATTTGTGTCTGTTTATACTTTGTGTGTTATTTTATCATTTGTTTTTATGTATGTGTATAATTTCTGCGTTTGAATTTTTTGGCATTATTTATTTTAATTATTGAAAACTGCTTATTTTCTTCATCATTATTTTTTTTTTGCATATAAAAAGGTTGTAACTTGTGGTGTATTAGCTTACGGCTTACACTGTAGATTTAAATTTATATTTCCTATACTATATGTAACAGGTGGGCCTCTAAAGAATCGATCCCCCCTTCCCCAATTATGATTATTGATATTGCGATACCGTGTGAATTGGACTGTAAAGAGAGTTAAAACTTCAACAAAAGACCAACTCAGGAATGTAAAATAAAAATCTTTTGAGAAGTTTTAAACAGGGTCAATTAATAAATTATTAATTTTAATTGCCCGCCATTTTTTTCATTACATGTTCAAAATTACTGCAAATTATGTAGTTTATGTGAGTGTATGCTGTTCAAGAAATATTATTCTAATACAAATATATTTGCTCAAATTGATTGATTAAAATATTTATATTACATTTAAACTGTGTATGGATTTCTTGTTACGTGCGTGTGGATATCATGGATTGGATCGTTTGTATCATGCTAAAAGTGTATTGTTCGACCTACATCATCTTATGTAGGTGGTAACACCTGATTCACTGCAGGTGGTGAAACAATATGTATCACCTGATTTACTGCAGGTAAAACAATTTGTAACACCTGATTTAGTGCAGGTAAAACAATTTGTAACACCTGATTACTGCAGGTGGTAAAACAATCTGTAACACCTGATTTACTGCAGGTGGTAAAACAATCTGTAACACCTGATTACTGCAGGTGGTAAAACAATCTGTAACACCTGATTTACTGCAGCTGAATCATGTAACACCTGATTCACTGCAGGTGGTGGAACAACTTGTAACACCTAACTTAAGGTGGTAAAACACTGCATATTTGAACCGGCACACAATAACATTTCGTGTTCAGTCCTAAAAAAATGTCCTTCAAGATTTCAGCAGTCAGTAGTCCTATATAGGCAATGTTTACTTTCTTACTGTCCTTAAACACACCAAATCTGTTTACATTAGTGACTACTTTTGTACATTTGGAACATGTATTTATAAAACAACCTCCATACAAGAGGTGATCAGGAATAAAACTAATCCCAAGGCAGAACCACTCTAACATTATTTTTGTACACAATTTTGTCTAGACCAGCCCCAATTTTTTTAGACTAACGTTTTTTTTTTTGTTTTTTTTTTATATCGAGACCCAATACTCTTAGGAGCGGGGTAAAGTAAACAATCAGCAGACAGTGTGAATCTGATGATATTCTAACCTAAAGTAAACAATCAGCAGACAGTGTGAATCTTATGATATTCTAGCCTTGACAAACTCGAGACCTCACGCAGGGCCTGTGGTGTAACATAAGCCATCAGAGTGACAGGAAAATTGAGAAATTACATGGGGGGTGGGGGTTAAATATAAAATAGGAGTTTGGTTTAAACTTAGGTGGGGGGATCAGGTGTTAAGCTTAAAATACATACTGTAATTGTTTGAATCACAAGGGGAGAAAATACGTTCAATAAACCCTAAGCAATGACAATATGGGAGTTAACCATTGATTCAAGTACCCGACACCACTACAGATGTGAACCAGGGGAGGTAATTTTCTTACCTTCAAATGTGAATGATGAAAAACTGGCTGAACTCATTTTTACTTCACCAGGAATAAACCCAAGGAAAAAAATAAAAATCTCATTTTTTTTTAAAATACGAGCTTTATCTGTTTAGTTTTTTTTTTCACTACAAGATTTTCCCTACACTTATAACTAGGGGTCTGTGTTTGTTTTAGGTCTAGGGTTGAATTCAGCAGTTTACTTTGTCAATAAGTCTCTGGACTTAAATCTGTGCGTGACCTCATGCACAACCACACCCAGCCTGGGAGAGAAGTAACACACGTTTGATGGCAAATAAATCAGTCTGTTATTGAACATACCAGCACACCAAGATGTATGAGATGGCCACATAAAGCAACAACACGTAATGCCTCATCAAACCAACAACACGTAATGCCTCATCAAACCAACACACGTAATGCCTCATCAAACCAACAACACGTAATGCCTCATCAAACCAACACACGTAATGCCTCATCAAACCAACACACGTAATGCCTCATCAAACCAACACACGGAATATCTCAAGAATGGAACTCAAATGGCAGTACACGAGCAGACAAAAAAAATTCCATTGGCCCTGCTCTCAATCAGCTAGATCAATCCAATTGATGTACATCACATATATGACTTGTATACAACACCTTTTGTATGGTACCAAGCACTTTCAGTATGGTAAACACAAGTATGCTAAATACCCTTTATAACTATCATAATTATTAACATATTAAGCACTTTCAGTATGGTAGGTAAAAGTATGCTAAACACCTATTATATAATAACCGAGGTGCACTAATTACCTTTTAGCTTACCCTTGCAGTTAATCAAATGTACAAAGCTGTATACATACCAGTATATTTAGCCTTTAATTAAAGACATTAAATTAAATTTCTAATTAGTTAGACTAGATATGGAATAATACAGCACAAGTATATGCACTGACAAGACATATTTCTTGTCAGGTCCTAACATAGACACGCTGTAATTATAGTTTCATTGACTGAAGCTGATGAGTCAATTTCAGTCAGATTGACTTTAGATTCAGTGAATGTACAATCATTTATTTATAACAAATTTTACACGCTTTACAGTAAAACACACTTCAAAAAGTCAAAAAAATCTATTTTACAAAAAAACAAACAACATACATAAGCACATATTGCCTGTGAGTGTCCAACACTGCTTCTTATATGTTAGCTGGCATAAAACATGACCCTGCTATCTTGTTAAACACAATTTTGAATGTTGATTTTTAAACTAAAATTTCAATGAGGCAGTTATGCTATATACATTGTGAATCTTTGTAGCACTGTGAGTAGTGGCGACTAATTGTCGATAACTCTTGATTTGTATGTATATTTTATATATATATATATATATATTTTCTTTTTTCTTAATTTAATTTATCTGTTCTCATCTTATGAAATATTAATTTAGTGTTTCTAAAATGATCGTAATTTAAGTACAAATACCAGTTTCAAAATTGTATAAAATAATGTTTTAACCTAAAAGTAATGTCTTAATAGAAAGATCATTAATATACTCTTATAAAGAAAAGTTTTGAGTCTTCTAGCTAAAAAGTTGCTATCATTCATTAGTAAGACTAGCCACCTGTCTATTGTTTTATATTTATTTTAAACATTTCTAAAGAAAAAATGTAAAAAAAAATGTAAACTAATTTAGAAGACAAAAAAAACAAAAGAAACCAAAAACCCAAGATAATAAAAAAAAAATGTACAACACAAGTTTCACACAGAATTCAGTGGCTCAGTCCCCAGTCATACTGAACTAAACATGAATTGACTTACAATGTTTGACTAACCATGGTCTTCCATGAAATGACTTACAAATATACACAAACCATGGTCTTTCATGAATTGAATTACAAAGTAAAACTAAGTTGAACTATAGCAATTATCTATATGACTTATAAAAAATATATTTTTAGTGAAAAGATAAATGTAAGAAATAGCAATGCTCAACACTTTAAGAAATAAATTCTTAAAAAACACGACTTAATTTAACAGCATACCTGACAGTTTGAAAAATGGCTTAATTTATCAGTATAACTGACAGTTTGAAAAATGGCTTAATTTATCAGTATAACTGACAGTTTGAAAAATGGCTTAATTTATCAGTATAACTGAGTTTGAAAAATGGCTTAATTTATTAGTATAACTGACAGTTTAAAAACCACCTGTGATTATAAATGTTTAGTAAATATTCAAACAAAAGTAATCAAAATGTTACCAGTTTCCAATCCACATTTCTCATATATGTACAATGCACATTTCTAACATATATGTATAATCCACATTTCTCACACAAATGTGTACAATCCACATTTCTCAGATAATGTGTAAGTTACATTTTTTCACACTAATGTGTAATCCACTTTCAACATGTGACTGTCTAGTGCTAATAATCTATCAAGTTAAACGCGTAATAAAACTTTGATTAAAGCACACTGCAGTAGCTATAAATAGTTCAAATGTTCAAACCCACAGATGCCTGATGCTGTGATTGGATTAGCCTGAGGGTCCAGGTCCAGCTGATATAAGAATGATAAAACATTTGACTACCCAGTAGGTGTGTGTAGAAAAACTTTACAAAAATTGTACTTTGGGAAAAAAGATTATCAAAATAGTAAATTGGATATCAAATACTGAAGTGCTTCTCAAGATTTAAAATTAAGTGAACAAGTATAAGCAGCTGCTAGTAATCAGTGATAACAATTTGTTCGGTGTATTGTAATTAGATTTTTTTAACCTGAATGTGATAAAGTAAATCTCTAAAATGTATCACTACATTCACAGATGAATTACCACAGGCACACAAAGATATATCATCACAGACACATACAAAGATATATCAGCTCAATGCAACGTAATGTAAACACACAGGTGAAAAAACAGGACAAAGTAAAATAAAACTACCTGTACCAGTACACAGTAAGCAAACTAATAATTAATTTTTAAAAATGTCATTAACGAAATCTTCAATTAAAACTAGATTTCATAACGTATTCTATATAATCGCTTTAAAGAATATATAAAAAAGTACTAAATGCGAATTAACTGAGTGCAATTGATTTTAAATTTATTTTATCTAAAATTTGTATGAATTGTTAACTAAGTGTTTCAATATAACTGAATATTGTAACTTAATATTAAACTGCTATTTGACTTCTAAATAAAGTTAGCATTTTTTAATGTGTCTTAACTAAAATAATATATGGGCTTACGAGATAGTTTAACACAAAACAATTTGTTACTGTGCACAAACTTTGGAAATTTGCATAAGTTGTGAAAAAATATTAAACAGCTTAACAAATAAAAAAACAATTGAGTATATCATAAAAATCATCAAAGAATAAACATAAAGTTATAAAGTAACATGTTTTCATACTTAAAATATGAACATACAGAAAAAAAAATTGCTTATTAAAACAAAAATGCAAACCTACATACGTAAGTTCTGTTATAAAACATTTTAAAAAATGACTTTAAAAGTGCAAAACTATTGCACACTATTTAAATCAATAAGATTAACAAAAAACAAAATTTGTGAACAAATTTGTGTGTGTGTACTAGAAAACAAAAAGTAAACAAATGTGAATAATTTAGAAACATTTTCAAGCAACTGCATTATTTGAGCTATTGCTTAAAACTCGACTACAATTAGTTTAACCAAAACCCAAGAAAACTGTTTCACAACAAGAACTACTCTGCGTTGTGATGATAGAAGCAACATCCAAGTAAAAAATGATAACGCAACAAGTAATTGTAAATAGCAAACATTAAGAACACTCTGCTGGAAGTTTTTATCTCAAACTAGACTAGCATTAAAATATCATTTCTTGCATGTTTAATTAGCTTGTATAGAGATTCAGGCAGTCGTTAAGGTCTGCTATATTGAGAAAATTACCCGTTAAGATTCAAATTAAAAAAAACTAAAAATTCAACGTGGTTTAACAAAATTTGCTAAACAAGAAATAAACAAGGAACACTATCTTCAACTTTCATTTTATTTCACTTGATCATAAAGAGAGTTGTACCACTACAGAGTTGTACCACTACCAGAGTTGTACCACTACCAGAGAGTTGTACCACTACAGAGTTGTACCACTACCAGAGTTGTACCACCACCAGAGTTGTACCACCACCAGAGTTGTACCACTACAGAGTTGTACCACTACCAGAGTTGTACTACTACCAGAGTTGTACCACTACCAGAGTTGTACCACTACCAGAGTTGTACCACTACCAGAGTTGTACCACTACAGAGTTGTACCACTACCAGAGTTGTAACGCTACCAGAGTTGTAACGCTAGCAGAGTTGTACCACTACCAGAGTTGTACCACTACCAGAGTTGTACTACTACCAGAGTTGTACCACTACCAGAGTTGTACTACTACCAGAGTTGTACCACTACCAGAGTTGTACTACTACCAGAGTTGTACCACAACCAGGCAGTTTCCCTATTAGGCTGACTTGATACAACTCAATTAGAAACTGGATTACAAAATTTTGGGGAATGAAATGTTTCGTTAGATGTTTTAGTTCAAAAATAATTCCGCCTTTTGTTATAGAAACATTTTATAACAATGATTTAACTCCAAAAAATGTTATCGTCATGTTTTGGCTGTTTTGTTTTGCCATTGAAAACCTCACAAGTGAGACACATTTAATCATCAATCTCTTGTATACGACTCAACACTAACACACTGCACAACACACTATTTACACAACAAACACTGCACAACACACTATTCACACAACAAAGTACCCTGGCCACTTATCAAGGACAACACAACAACTTTGGCAGTTACTGACATCACCATGCCCCAGAATGCCCTATGGTGCCCAAATGTGTACAAAGTCTAGTATAATCTGTCAATCTTCAAAAACCTGTACACTAATTCAGTTCTCCCTATAAAATGGATTTAAAAAATGTGTTTACAATAGAAATGAAGTGCCATATCAGATATATAATGTAGCTCATAAATCACCACTCTCATTACAGAAAACACGATATGTCAACATAGAAATGTAAGTCATAAAATGTATGTCATCTGCACATAGCTCTTCATCTTATAGCAATCATTGGATATAATGCTCAGATATAAAATATAACAGCCCAGGATGAACACATTTATATCACATATGGACAGAGTTAAGGGGAATATATTTCCAGAATAGCTTCTCTAAAGACCAGCTTTATTATAAAAATAACCTAATAGAGCAGGGGAAGTGAAGGAATAAAATATCTTCAGTAAAAAAACCTACAAAAAACTAGGAAGTCTAAAAAAAAAAAGTCTAAGTTGCAGACATGCGCATATATTCGAGCTAAAGCTTGTTTCATCCATGCTCCCATGTAAGTAGTTGATGAATTCATTGACTTGTATCAGAGTCTAGCCCTGTTTAAGACTTCTGTAAATCACGGCACAGCTTTTGGTCTTTTAGGATGGTGTCAGCGACAGGAATGTCCTCAGCGTAGATAGTGACACCCTGGGCGTCGCCGGCAGCACCGTCATCGTCATCATCCAGGTGACACAGCAGGCAGTCGTCTTCATACGTGGGGAAAAAGTACCTGGAGATGATGGGGGGGGGGACATTAAATCGCTGAACCCTATGACATAAACCAAATATATCACTGGGATGACTACGTCAAAAAAAAAAAAAGTTCAGTATTAAAAGTAATGATTTTCCATAATAGTGACATTTTGTTATTAATATTTTAAAGAATTAAGTTTTTTAATAAAATTATTTTCTTTGCATTAAAATTAACAGCGTAAATTATCACCAAACTTAATGCTGCAATGGTGGTAATAGGCTACATTAGGCATGATAAGTTTTTTATGAAACAGAGAAATAGAAAAATTGAAATTAATAGGACTTATTAAAATATTTTTATTTAACCTAGAGATTTTTATAACAAGGCAAAATGATATACGCCTGCAACCTTTGCAAGAAAATATAGAAATTAAGAATCTGTACACAAACAAACCAATACAAGCTAAGAAACCAACTGAGCAGGTTCTCACACAAAACCAGACAGAGAAACCAACTGAACAGGCCTGCCTATAAAACCAGACAGAATAAATAAACTGCGCAGCTCTTCCCATAACACCAGAGAGTAGAGACTTACTGTGGCTGGTCTGCACATAACACCAGAGAGTAGAGACTTACTGTGGCTGGTCCCAGATGGTGGCATCAGGCAGGTTCTTGATGTGATCTGTGTTGGTCTCTAGGTGGGAGTTGAGCTCATCCTTGTCAGCAAATGTCACCTGACACCCGTAGCATGTCTTGTGGTAGATCTACAATAGAAATTAACTTTGTCAGCAAATGTCACCTGACATGTCTTGTGGTAGATCTACAATAGAAATTAACTTTGTCAGCAAATGTCACCTGACACCCATAGCATGTCTTGTGGTAGATCTACAACAGAAATTAACTTTGTCAGCAAATGTCAACTGACACCCGTAGCATGTCTTGTGGTAGATCTACAATAGAAATTAACTTTGTCAGCAAATGTCACCTGACATGTCTTGTGGTAGATCTACAATAGAAATTAACTTTGTCAGCAAATGTCACCTGACATGTCTTGTGGTAGATCTACAACAGAAATTAACTTTGTCAGCAAATGTCACCTGACATGTCTTGTGGTAGATCTACAACAGAAATTAACTTTGTCAGCAAATGTCACCTGACATGTCTTGTGGTAGATCTACAACAGAAATTAACTTTGTCAGCAAATGTCACCTGACACCCATAACATGTCTTGTGGTAGATCTACAACAGAAATTAACTTTGTCAGCAAATGTCACCTGACACCCGTAGCATGTCTTGTGGTAGATCTACAATAGAAATTAACTTTGTCAGCAAATGTCACCTGACACCCGTAGCATGTCTTGTGGTAAATCTACAACAGAAATTAACTTTGTCAGCAAATGTCACCTGACACCTGTAGCATGTCTTGTGGTAGATCTACAATAGAAATTAACTTTGTCAGCAAATGTCACCTGACATGTCTTGTGGTAGATCTACAATAGAAATTAACTTTGTCAGCAAATGTCACCTGACACCCGTAGCATGTCTTGTGGTAAATCTACAACAGAAATTAACTTTGTCAGCAAATGTCAACTGACACCCATAGCATGTCTTGTGGTAGATCTACAACAGAAATTAACTGCCCAGAGGATCAACATGACATTCCTTTCAAAGTACCATCTTCTATTTGCATATATTTTATACATATCTTTGTTTACTGTTTCTTTTGTTTATAACTTTTTTTTTTACTATCGTGTTTGCCATTTATTGCAAATAGCTATACACTGAACTTAGACTCCCAAAACATCTGATTGTAATACAAGTGTCTCTGATGCTGCCATTTTCAACATTGATGATGTGTCAAGGTAAACAAGCAAAACAATAGCTTAAACATATTTCCTGGTGAGTCTTTGGTTGCCAGATTTTGAAATGTATTGTAAAATGAGATACAAATTTTGTAAAATTTTACAAACAACTCTGAACTAGTTTGCAGTAAAATTTAAAAAAAAAGACGACTGACCTGACGACGAATGTAGTTGATAAGTTTGACCTTTTGATAGAAATTGAGCTGTAGTTTGTGGTTGACTTCTTGCAAATCAAAACAATGATTTTCCTGTCAAAAAAAAATGTTGATAATGTTACTGGTACCCCACAGTTTGTGTTACCCAAACTCATTAAACAAAGTAGGCTTGCCATACCTTCATATGTTTCTGTAGGTCTGCTTGCACAGCGCAGGACGTATCACAGAACAGACAGACCACCTTGTATTGAGACTCCTCGTCCCATCCAGCCCACTCACTGGGGGGGGGGGGACAAACAAAACATTACATTCAAGTATAAACTGACAAAGTTATCACTAGAAACTAATTTTTTTTTCAGTTAAGTTTGTCACAGAAACAACTTACTCTTCTTCATCCGATGTTTTGTCATTTGTTTTCACAAGACGATTGTCCTCTGACTGCAAACTTTCCCAGTTTTTACCCATTTCCTAAGGAAAAACAGAAACCTATCACACTCTGCTCAACATACAATATTAAACATATAAAAAACTTAACGTACCCGCCATACAATAGATGATATAAAAAAGTCTATCTAAACTACTCACCATATAGTTGATGATATAAAACCTATCGTACTCCTTATTTTTGGGATTGATCTTGCGGTGTTGTTTCTTCCTCATATGTTCCCTGAGGCTGGCTTTATCTTTGAATGATTTCTCACAGAAGAGACACAGCTGACTGAAAGAACAAAGCACCATAAGTCAGCTATCAACATAGTCTATACACATTTCTCACAGAAGAGACACAGCTGACTGAAAGAACAAAGCACCATAAGTCAGCTATCAACATGGTCTATACACATTTCTCACAGAAGAGACACAGCTGACTGAAAGAACAAAGCACCATAAGTCAGCTATCAACATGGTCTATACACATTTCTCACAGAAGAGACACAGCTGACTGAAAGAACAAAGCACCATAAGTCAGCTATCAACATGGTCTATACACATTTCTCACAGAAGAGACACAGCTGACTGAAAGAACAAAGCACCATAAGTCAGCTATCAACATGGTCTATACACATTTCTCACAGAAGAGACAGCTGACTGAAAGAACAAAGCACCATAAGTCAGCTATCAACATGGTCTATACACATTTCTCACAGAAGAGACAGCTGACTGAAAGAACAAAGCACCATAAGTCAGCTATCAACATGGTCTATACACATTTCTCACAGAAGAGACACAGCTGACTGAAAGAACAAAGCACCATAAGTCAGCTATCAACATGGTCTATACACATTTCTCACAGAAGAGACACAGCTGACTGAAAGAACAAAGCACCATAAGTCAGCTATCAACATGGTCTATACACATTTCTCACAGAAGAGACAGCTGACTGAAAGAACAAAGCACCATAAGTCAGCTATCAACATGGTCTATACACATTTCTCACAGAAGAGACAGCTGACTGAAAGAACAAAGCACCATAAGTCAGCTATCAACATGGTCTATACACATTTCTCACAGAAGAGACACAGCTGACTGAAAGAACAAAGCACCATAAGTCAGCTATCAACATGGTTTATACACATTTCTCACAGAAGAGACAGCTGACTGAAAGAACAAAGCACCATAAGTCAGCTATCAACATGGTCTATACACATTTCTCACAGAAGAGACAGCTGACTGAAAGAACAAAGCACCATAAGTCAGCTATCAACATGGTCTATACACATTTCTCACAGAAGAGACAGCTGACTGAAAGAACAAAGCACCATAAGTCAGCTATCAACATGGTCTATACACATTTCTCACAGAAGAGACACAGCTGACTGAAAGAACAAAGCACCATAAGTCAGCTATCAACATGGTCTATACACATTTCTCACAGAAGAGACACAGCTGACTGAAAGAACAAAGCACCATAAGTCAGCTATCAACATGGTCTATACACATTTCTCACAGAAGAGACAGCTGACTGAAAGAACAAAGCACCATAAGTCAGCTATCAACATGGTCTATACACATTTCTCACAGAAGAGACAGCTGACTGAAAGAACAAAGCACCATAAGTCAGCTATCAACATGGTCTATACACATTTCTCACAGAAGAGACACAGCTGACTGAAAGAACAAAGCACCATAAGTCAGCTATCAACATGGTTTATACACATTTCTCACAGAAGAGACAGCTGACTGAAAGAACAAAGCACCATAAGTCAGCTATCAACATGGTCTATACACATTTCTCACAGAAGAGACAGCTGACTGAAAGAACAAAGCACCATAAGTCAGCTATCAACATGGTCTATACACATTTCTCACAGAAGAGACAGCTGACTGAAAGAACAAAGCACCATAAGTCAGCTATCAACATGGTTTATACACATTTCTCACAGAAGAGACACAGCTGACTGAAAGAACAAACAAGTCAGCTATCAACATGGTTTATACACATTTCTCACAGAAGAGACAGCTGACTGAAAGAACAAAGCACCATAAGTCAGCTATCAACATGGTCTATACACATTTCTCACAGAAGAGACAGCTGACTGAAAGAACAAAGCACCATAAGTCAGCTATCAACATGGTCTATACACATTTCTCACAGAAGAGACAGCTGACTGAAAGAACAAAGCACAATAAGTCAGCTATCAACATGGTCTATACACATTTCTCACAGAAGAGACACAGCTGACTGAAAGAACAAACAAGTCAGCTATCAACATGGTCTATACACATTTCTCACAGAAGAGACAGCTGACTGAAAGAACAAAGCACCATAAGTCAGCTATCAACATGGTCTATACACATTTCTCACAGAAGAGACAGCTGACTGAAAGAACAAAGCACAATAAGTCAGCTATCAACATAGTCTATACACATTTCTCACAGAAGAGACAGCTGACTGAAAGAACAAAGCACCATAAGTCAGCTATCAACATGGTCTATACACATTTCTCACAGAAGAGACAGCTGACTGAAAGAACAAAGCACCATAAGTCAGCTATCAACATGGTCTATACACATTTCTCACAGAAGAGACACAGCTGACTGAAAGAACAAAGCACCATAAGTCAGCTATCAACCCAGTCTATACACATTAGTGTCTCATGTTCTAGCTATAAATCACCAGACAATACATTGAACAATGATGTCTGGGTATAAAAACAAGTGAGCTAATGTTTGTATTGATTAAGTCACTAAGACAACACAAGTGAGCTAATGTCATTGATTGAGTAAACTGTCAGTGACTCACTTGTCAAGTTTTGCTTGAATCAGATCAAACAGTTCATCTGTAAAGACTGGAGATGAGAAAATATGCAATCGTTTATTGTCAAACAAATTAGGTCATATCCTTAACCCTTAAATTGCGCGCCACGTGGCCTTACGAGTTATAAGTTATGTAACAGCAAAGCCACGATCGTGGCTTGGCACGCTTTCAGGGTTAATAAATAATAAGTATAATCAAATCTTAAATCTTGTATAAGTCAAGCACCTATGTGGAGGATCAATGATGCAGGTTAGTGTCTGACCATGGGGTACATGATGCAAGGAATGTCCAAGAAACAACTGAGGTACTCACCCAGATTGTCAGGCTGGCCCATGTGAAATGTATGATCTCTCAGCAAGTGGTCAAACAGAACAGCCCTGATGTAATAATAAACAAATATTATGATCACAACAAACGGACAAACAGAACAGCCCTGATGTAATAATAAACAAATATTATGATCACATCAAATGAACAAACAGAACAACCTTAAAATAAGATAGCAAATATAAACATTTTGCCAGTAAAATCAGAACTTTCTGTCATTGAAATATGGGATTAAACGGTATATTATAAAGCTTATTGCACTTTGTAATGTTGCTGAAGTCAACTAACCTGTTTCCACAATACGTCTGTTTGCAAAACAAGCATTGACGACAAAACTTTGTCTCTTCTCTCTCTCTTTGTTGCTGAGCTAAAACTGACTCCTGGGGGCAGACAACAATTCTTTCAGACAACACAGGGTCAAATACAACATCATTCTTATACAGCTGGTTCTCATGGGAATCAGTAGATGATGTGTCTACACTTATAGCTTGTTGTATGACACATTTAAATGGAACAAACTTAACAGGCCCTCATTCTAGATTAATCTGATGTTTAACAGTTAACTTCAGAAAACGTCTGCAGTTTAAGCAAGGTAATTTTATGGCTAGCAATGTAAACAGAAAGTGTTATTTCAACGCCAAGTGTGGTGAAATAACACTTTCTGTTTACATTGCTATTTCAGTTACAGCGCCTGCTTCCACCCCTCACCTAATTTTATGGCTAAACATTATAAAGAGGAAGCCATAAAAGAAATCCATTTAATCATATCACATATCAAGAAACATCTAAAAATATGTACCACAACCAAATAATGAGACAACTAAAAAGTGTGTTGCCTAACAGACAAGTACTGGGAACATTAAAAAAAATTAAAGTAGCCAAAAAAAGGGGGTTCTGACCAGTTTTTTCCTTTGAAGATGTTCCCTGATGTCTTTATCTTCTGGCAGTGCATCACACAACAGATAGAACTCTTCTTTAGGAGCTGGAAATGTTCAATCATATGTTGCCTTACAGGCTGATAGATCTAGGTCAAGCTAAGATATCTGATACACTGACACCATAGTATTACATATGTCACTTAAGATAACTATAACATCTGTAACACTGATACCACAGTATTAGAGGCCTTACCTTCATCTTTCACTCCAGTGTTTGTGACAATTTTAGAACAAAACTCAGTTATTGGCTTTTCTTCCATGCGTTTCTTCCAGTACTTCAGGTAACTTAGTCGAGAAAACAACAAGGTTTAAAATAGAGGCACTAATTAAACAAAAATGGTTTCATTTAAAAATCTGTATGTAAATATTTTTACACCAACAGTCAGTGACATAGATAAAGATCTGATACATCACATACATCTGTCGTAGAGAAATTTTCAAGCACATACATACACATGTAATATATAAATATATGGTACGTACACCTGATGTCATAGAGGAATATCCGACACATTTCTTATGTCACATAGAAACGTGAGATACATAAACTAATATCAGTTTTTAGAAACAAATGGTATGATGTTAGTATTTACAAATATTGTGCTACATAAGGTATGTTAGTATTTTAATAGAACTATTGAAATACATACGCTGGAAGATTGGCAATGTAGTTTACATCAGCAATAACAAACTTATGCATGAGGACAAGGTGAGCGAGTATGTCCTCTTTGTTAAAGGCAGGATAGGACCTGTCACACAGAGGGCAGGGACACATACACAGTTCCCCTTCGGCTTTGCTGCAGTCGTGTTTGGCAGGCTTCTCCTCTGTCTTGGAACTAAACGTCAGAGTCTCCAGAACTGGCCTGTTCTCACTGCTCGTCTCCGTGCTGGTCGACCTTTTCCTGCGGACCAGCATCTCACGCACCGGCCGCTCCTCAGAGTTCTGGTGTTCAAGCTTTTTATCTGACGCCATGTTCCCACCAGCTAGGCAAGAATCCGAGTCAGCTTTAGAGGCCAGCGACCCTGAACTCTGCTGCGTCGTCATGCTGCCGCCTGCATGGAAAACATCATCACTACTGCCAGCAGAGACCTCGGTGCTGGAGGCAGGGTCAGAGTTTCCAGACGTGGTATGTGCTGTGCTACTGGAGACAGTACCATGTTCTGGGATGGTTGATAAACTGCCTGAACACGTGGATCCACTGCTCAGCTCAGACAGAGAGTTGGCCACGCTGTGCTGGGAGGCGGAGTTCTCTACAAAAGGTGTTGTGGTTTCTTCTTGGATCTGCAGGGCAGCTTCTTTGGTTTGATTTTCTAGGCATGGTTTAGAATTATCAACAGTTTCTTTTGGTGTCATACTCTCATCAAGTGAACTGACAGCTAGCACTGATGGCCCACAGCTACATGACTGAAAAGAGTTGGCTGTGGAGTTAGCTGATTGTAAGTCTCCATCTTGAGGCTGGTTTTCATGAAGAACTTTTTTCTGTTCAAGACTTAACACCTCAGTGGGTGAGCTAGTCATCTTCTGCTCAAGTAGGTCTAAAGTTTAAAAAAAAAGACAAGATATTTCTTTATTAGAAAAAAGTACAAAAAAAATACATTTAATCCGATTAAGATGAAAATTGAATACCTAAAGTTTAAATAATATGCACCAATTTAAAAACAACAAATTACAAGTCATGATGAACACTCAAATGTAAACTTAATAATTAAAATGTTAATAAAATAATTAACTGTTCAATATTCTGATTAAAATAAAATAATTGACACATTGGGGTACCAGCTATGGCATGTTTCCTGTATCAGTCTACAAAATGGTATCTGTTTGTGCCATAGTTTGTGGTCAGCAGAGGAGAGCTTTTCCAGCCTCACAATCATAACCTGCGTTTATTCACAATTGTGTGAGCCTAATTTCATTGTAGGCACATTTCTTGTCCCCTTTTTGCCCATAACAATTGTTATTTCAAAACCAACACTTTCAGTTTCTGACAAGTTTTATATCTCATCATAATTATCATTCATTTTGGTTCCTTGAGGAACATAGAGCTTTTAATGGTCTGCTACTACTCTTTTTAGTTTTCTTGGTTTTTGACAGTGTGACCAATTCAATTATTCATTGTCATTTTCTATGGTTTGCATTTCTATAGTTTTTTGTATACTCATCTAGCCCTAGGCTACTATAATTTAATTTTGCATTCTCTATCTTGTCATAAATATGCAAACAATGGCATGACAAGTTTTATATCTAGTAGTGTAGTAATAGCAGATCTGTAGATGTTACTGTTAACGACTTCTAGTCTAGGTCTAGAGTAGAGAATTACTTGATTTTTTATCTAGATATCTATTTAAATTTAGATAATTTAAATCTAGATATCTAGCCTATTTAAATCTATTATCTTGCATCCTAGTGAGTAGACTAGAAAATGAATTCTGTAATCTATCATTTTAAGTACATAAAATCGTCCGAGGCTAGAAATGTACGACAAAGTTTCCTCATTGTTACGGCTTTAATAGAAGTATATTTTGATATATTTGTGTCAAATATTATAGATGATTGAATAATAAACCAAAATCAATGGCTAAATATATCAATATAGGCCAGAAATTAACTTTAAACAGCAGTGTTTGCGAGCAGCCATTTGTAAAATAGAGTGGCTTCCCCTGAATCTTCCGCTAACGATAAGTTTACAAAAAAAATCTTAAACAAGATGTAGTTAGTCTCATATAAATTCAATTTTCTTCAAATTATAAAAAGAATAGCATATAATTGTAGAGCTTTAAAAATGCAATCCAACAGTACCAATTTTATTAATTTAGCATAATTGGTTGATTAAATATAATTTTTTTAGTGTCGCAAATAAAATATATAGAAACGCGACCAAAAACGCAGGTAAAAAGTCAAATTCACTTGTTTTAAAGCTAGTAAGCAAGAAAAGACATGATTCTTTCTTACAATTGAAATCAGTTTGCTTATACCTACATTTTTTTACACCAAGGTGAAAGTAAATAGTTTATATAAATTTATAAAATGCCATTTATATAATTTATTGTATGTTTTGTGATGAATTTTCAATTGGAAAATACCGCATTTGGAAGCAGAAAGGTAAATTCTACAGAACAGATGTTGTTTGGAATGTTATAGATCTATATCAAAATGTTTGTTTAATAAAATTCAATTAGAGTCCACCCATTTCTGATGGGTACCTGATATACATTGGGGAAATTAAAGGTAAAAAGTAAAGGCGGCTGTGAATATCGCTGACCACACGGACAATCACTTCATATGCCGAGGTCAAGAAACATGAACTCTACTTCATCTGCCAAATAGATTGCTTTGTCTAAAGAGGAATCTTAATTAATGTTTACAGGGGCCTAATAAAATTGAGTTATGTTTGTAAAAACATTAGGCCTAAGCTTTAAAAACTTATTTTGGTCAATATCGGAAAAAATAAAAATCTTTTCGACTAAATGGGTTGAAAAAAGCTTTGAATTTGTTTCATTGTTTGTTATTATATCTTGTAGTATTTAGAATTGAAGCTTTCTTTCTTAATTACAAGTTGTATTAATTTCAAACCTTAATGTAATTTCTTTTTAATTCAGTATTAGCCTAAATGTAAGGTAGGCTACAGAATTCAGATATTACCTATGGTTTTGTGATTTTTATATGTTTATAACATTTGTGTTTATGAAATGACCTAATGAAGTTATCAAGCAAACTGTTTTATTATTATTTTAATAGACCTGCAAGTTATAAGTACAAAATATAGATATCTAATCACTAGATCTAGGTCTAAGTTTAAGAAAAAACTACCAAAAGGGTTTGAAATACTTAAATATAGTACTAAAAGTAGCTATGTTTTGAAAAAAAAAAAATTTAAACTAGAGACATTCAATTTAAAAGTCATTATAAAAACTCCACGATCTAGATTTATTTCTAGATCTCTAGAAGGAATACAGATTTAGAGGCTTTCCCATCAGTATCAATGTACTATCTTAGCTATGTGGGAGGTCAGTACGAGTTCACTGGGAAAAAAATCGGATCTGCCGTAGGGGGGTGGGTTTAGTGCGCAAATGCTCCTGACCGATTGCCAAAAGGTACAGAAATTCTAAAGATACATTTTAAAAGAAAAATGGACGGCTGAACTGCAGTTATCAAAATATCTGTGTAAGTAGAAGTATAAATAATAATATTTTACACAAATATAGCTGTCTTTTGCTAAATCTAGCTCAATTTCCACGAAAATCGCATCCGGTCGCAATAATTTTTATATCAGCTTGTCGGCCATTCAACGATCTATCACGTGTAGCAGACGCCAAACAGATTTACCCGTATGGTATTGCGCGAATGCTATTTTTAGCAACAGTGCCGAGACGCGATCGAAAAAAACGAACTAGAAAGTGGCCATAAAAAAGCGGGTCAGGGGAGGTAATTCAACTCGCGTTATGAGACTAGCTACAAGATGACTGCTGAAGTAAACGGGCTTTGTTGCATCTGATGAAAACATCGCTAGTCTTTATTAATTACTGACAAGTTTTAATACAACTGTTTAAAAACATAAATCTTCCTTAAAATGTGAAATAATTACTAAAATTTAATGATTAATGAGGCACCTTCTTTCACATTACTTACTTATTTACTAGACCTAGAACTAGATATCTAGATCTAGCCTCGGCCGATTTTACTACCTAACCTAACTAAAGTGGGCTAGAGACCCTAACAGCCTAACCGCCCTAACTAACTAACTAAAGCGATAGTTTACCAACTTTACTATGAATTCTTTAGATCTAGATCTAGAATAGATCTAATTCTAAATCTAGATAGAACTAGATCCAGGCCTAATTAAACTAATTTAAAAATTTATGAAAAAAAAGTTTTACTATGGGAAAGATACGGTTAGTATTTTATTGAGACTCAGAGAAATCCATCATCCATCATTGCGTTGCGGAGCGCATGTAACACTGACACTAGAAAAAAAACTTGACCAGATGGCTGCTTAAAATTCATTATAAAATCAGCTAAGTCAGTCAATGTATATGGTTTAGTATAATTGTTTGTGAGTATTAACTTTAATTAAAATAAATGGTATATTTTAAAATCGTATTAACAAAATAACAAGTATGAAAAATTCTAACCGTCCTCCACAGCTGTGGAGTTGCTGTTATCAACGGAGGCCGCCATGTTGGGATTGAATTGTTATGTAAAAGTTGGAGTTAAAAACGTCGGCTCAAAAATAACAATGAAGCTAGAGTTAAAATAGATCTAGATCTAGACTCTAGTAAAAATGCCTAGATCTACTTGACATATATTTTATACAAACGACGCTTAATAGTAAAAAAAAAACAAAAAAAACCAAGTAGATTTTACATGTTGATCTACTTAAAAAGGGAAACAAATCCTATTAAGTATTAAAAAAAATAGGCTACAAGATTTATCCATCGTATAAATCTTGTAGGCTATTTCTTTATCCATCTGTCATTTATTTTCTTAGTCTCAAGTATTTAATATTTTGTTACTATATTACTCTTCGGGGTCATCCGTAAATGACGTCACGCTTTTTGTTGACGGTTTTTACCTCCCCCACTCCCCTCCGTCACACATCGTCACAAAAAGCCAGAACCCCCCCCCCCCCTTAAATGACATCACACCTCTGCCTACAACCCCCCTCGAAAATGCATTTGAATTTTTTTTTAAAACATTGATATTTTTCTAAAATCTTATCTGAACCCCTTCCCCATTTAGCCGATACCCCTTGCCTTAGGCATGTATACTCTTCCACATGTGGGTGTCGGCCATAAATAACGTCACTCTCCTAAGTAGGGTGGAGGGGAGGGGGGGGAGGATGGCGATTTACAACGAGGACAATTAATAGTAATTTTAAAAAAATTGAATGTTCATAAACTTGACCCTGCTTAGTTCACATTTTTGTAAACCCTATTTATGTGATGTCTGATACAAGATACAATCGGTCGATTCACGGTACATTATCAAAACAACAACACATACCACAGTCAACAAAGTACAGACGAATGTAAGAATGTTTACATTCGTGGATGTGCTACCCAAACATTCGTGGATGTGCTACCCAAACATTCGTGGATGTGCTACCCAAACATTCGTGGATGTGCTACCCAAACATTCGTGGATGTGCTACCCAATCATTCGTGGATGTGCTACCCAATCATTCGTGGATGTGCTACCCAATCATTCGTGGATGTGCTACCCAATCATTCGTGGATGTGCTACCCAATCATTCGTGGATGTGCTACCCAATCATTCGTGGATGTGCTACCCAAACATTCGTGGATGTGCTACCCAATCAGTCGTGGATGTGCTACCCAAACATTCGTGGATGTGCTACCCAATCATTCGTGGATGTGCTCCACCTTTGGTCACGGCGATCCATGGGGCAGGTGAAGTGGAGTTAATCTGTTTCTTGACCATGGCATATGATGTGATGGTATGGTCGGCGCCTTCCCCAGCCACCTTGACGGGAGTCGGCTGCCGGGTACCCATCCGGGCTGGGTGGACTCAGGGACGTCATACAAATGCTCGAGTTTGAGGTCCGACCACGTGACCTACGCCGCTAAATTAAGTTCAATGTATCATCAACAACCAAAGGTTTTAGCCAAATAAGTTGAGTGAGTTCGGCTATCGACATACAGACCCAGATCTAAATGTACATTTTCGAAGCCTTTTTTCACAGCTTTTGTCACATTGTAGATTTAATTTAAAACAGATTTAGGGTCTTCACATTAAGAGCACATTGAAAAAATGTCATAAGTTACATCATGTTTTGAAAACGAAATTAATACATGCGTTAAAAAGTTTTAAAATAAATAGTTTAAATCGTTTAGTTTGTGCTAATATAGGTGTACTGTATTGATCTGCTTTAATTCGTTTTGTAATTTCCTAAAATGAAAACAAAAAATACGTTTATTTTCGCTCCACTTCACAATGTTAAACTACAACGTCTGCTAAGTGACACCCTCCCCTTTCCAGTGATAGCATAACGGTGTCTACCCATAATGCCAAACATACAACACAGTTATGTTTGTGCTGATTGTCTTTTGTTGTACAATCACCCATGAGTCTAAATTTAATTAACATTAACATATAACAAATAAAAACAACAACACAACTTCTCTAATTGTGTATTTAATATGACTTCATTTTAAAACATCAATAAAATAAAATATTTATATCAATAAATACATAAAACATCTGGACTCTTTGAATGCCATATTTTTGTTTCGTCGATGTTCACTTTTCTCAGCAGCATTGCTGGTCACTCGACTAATGAGAGAAACTCATTGTAATTATTGCTGGTCACTCGACTAATGCGAGAAACTCATTATAATTATTGCTGGTCACTCGACTAATGAGAGAAACTCATTGTAATTATTGCTGGTCACTCGACTAATGCGAGAAACTCATTATAATTATTGCTGGTCACTCGACTAATGAGAGAAACTCATTATAATTATTGCTGGTCACTCGACTAATGAGAGAAACTCATTATAATTATTGCTGGTCACTCGACTAATGAGAGAAACTCATTATAATTATTGCTGGTCACTCGACTAATGAGAGAAACTCATTGTAATTATTGCTGGTCACTCGACTAATGAGAGAAACTCATTATAATTATTGCTGGTCACTCGACTAATGAGAGAAACTCATTATAATTATTGCTGGTCACTCGACTAATGAGAGAAACTCATTATAATTATTCCTGGTCACTCGACTAATGAGAGAAACTCATTATAATTATTGCTGGTCACTCGACTAATGAGAGAAACTCATTATAATTATTGCTGGTCACTCGACTAATGCGAGAAACTCATTATAATTATTGCTGGTCACTCGACTAATGAGAGAAACTCATTATAATTATTGCTGGTCACTCGACTAATGAGAGAAACTCATTATAATTATTGCTGGTCACTCGACTAATGAGAGAAACTCATTATAATTATTGCTGGTCACTCGACTAATGAGAGAAACTCATTATAATTATTGCTGGTCACTCGACTAATGAGAGAAACTCATTATAATTATTGCTGGTCACTCGACTAATGAGAGAAACTCATTATAATTATTGCTGGTCACTCGACTAATGAGAGAAACTCATTATAATTATTGCTGGTCACTCGACTAATGAGAGAAACTCATTATAATTATTGCTGGTCACTCGACTAATGAGAGAAACTCATTATAATTATTGCTGGTCACTCGACTAATGAGAGAAACTCATTATAATTATTGCTGGTCACTCGACTAATGAGAGAAACTCATTATAATTATTGCTGGTCACTCGACTAATGAGAGAAACTCATTATAATTATTGCTGGTCACTCGACTAATGAGAGAAACTCATTATAATTATTGCTGGTCACTCGACTAATGAGAGAAACTCATTATAATTATTGCTGGTCACTCGACTAATGCGAGAAACTCATTATAATTATTGCTGGTCACTCGACTAATGAGAGAAACTCATTATAATTATTGCTGGTCACTCGACTAATGAGAGAAACTCATTATAATTATTGCTGGTCACTCGACTAATGAGAGAAACTCATTATAATTATTGCTGGTCACTCGACTAATGAGAGAAACTCATTATAATTATTGCTGGTCACTCGACTAATGAGAGAAACTCATTATAATTATTGCTGGTCACTCGACTAATGAGAGAAACTCATTATAATTATTGCTGGTCACTCGACTAATGAGAGAAACTCATTATAATTATTGCTGGTCACTCGACTAATGAGAGAAACTCATTATAATTATTGCTGGTCACTCGACTAATGAGAGAAACTCATTATAATTATTGCTGGTCACTCGACTAATGAGAGAAACTCATTATAATTATTGCTGGTCACTCGACTAATGAGAGAAACTCATTATAATTATTGCTGGTCACTCGACTAATGAGAGAAACTCATTATAATTATTGCTGGTCACTCGACTAATGCGAGAAACTCATTATAATTATTGCTGGTCACTCGACTAATGAGAGAAACTCATTATAATTATTGCTGGTCACTCGACTAATGAGAGAAACTCATTATAATTATTGCTGGTCACTCGACTAATGAGAGAAACTAATTATAATTATTGCTGGTCACTCGACTAATGAGAGAAACTCATTATAATTATTGCTGGTCACTCGACTAATGAGAGAAACTCATTATAATTATTGCTGGTCACTCGACTAATGAGAGAAACTCATTATAATTATTGCTGGTCACTCGACTAATGAGAGAAACTCATTATAATTATTGCTGGTCACTCGACTAATGAGAGAAACTCATTATAATTATTGCTGGTCACTCGACTAATGAGAGAAACTCATTATAATTATTGCTGGTCACTCGACTAATGAGAGAAACTCATTATAATTATTGCTGGTCACTCGACTAATGAGAGAAACTCATTATAATTATTGCTGGTCACTCGACTAATGAGAGAAACTCATTATAATTATTGCTGGTCACTCGACTAATGAGAGAAACTCATTATAATTATTGCTGGTCACTCGACTAATGAGAGAAACTCATTATAATTATTGCTGGTCACTCGACTAATGAGAGAAACTCATTATAATTATTGCTGGTCACTCGACTAATGAGAGAAACTCATTATAATTATTGCTGGTCACTCGACTAATGAGAGAAACTCATTATAATTATTGCTGGTCACTCGACTAATGAGAGAAACTCATTATAATTATTGCTGGTCACTCGACTAATGAGAGAAACTCATTATAATTATTGCTGGTCACTCGACTAATGAGAGAAACTCATTATAATTATTGCTGGTCACTCGACTAATGAGAGAAACTCATTATAATTATTGCTGGTCACTCGACTAATGAGAGAAACTCATTATAATTATTGCTGGTCACTCGACTAATGAGAGAAACTCATTATAATTATTGCTGGTCACTCGACTAATGAGAGAAACTCATTATAATTATTGCTGGTCACTCGACTAATGAGAGAAACTCATTATAATTATTGCTGGTCACTCGACTAATGAGAGAAACTCATTATAATTATTGCTGGTCACTCGACTAATGAGAGAAACTCATTATAATTATTGCTGGTCACTCGACTAATGAGAGAAACTCATTATAATTATTGCTGGTCACTCGACTAATGAGAGAAACTCATTATAATTATTGCTGGTCACTCGACTAATGAGAGAAACTCATTATAATTATTGCTGGTCACTCGACTAATGAGAGAAACTCATTATAATTATTGCTGGTCACTCGACTAATGAGAGAAACTCATTATAATTAATCTTCCCATCGCCGTCCTTGTCCACGGCGTCGAAAATATTTTTGAGCTCTTCCTCCAGACCGTAGTCTGCCAGCATGACCTTGACCTCTTCTGCGCTGATGGTGCCAGAGTTGTCCGTGTCTAGTTCTCTGAAGGCCGCGCGCAGTGAGCACTCTCTGGAGGGGGGGGGGAAGGGGAGGTAGAATGTCAAGCATGGTCTGGTCAGTTACTCCAAGTTAAGTTTAACAATGGTTGGTGTTTAAGCTAAAAGCATTACAGCTAACCCAGGGACATAGCTTCAGATGGTGTGTGCTAGGGGGAAGGGGGGATTTTAGGTTATTCTACCTAGTACCTAGATAAATAAACAGAAGGTTGGACAACATGAGCCTATCCCGAGCTCCTCGCCTGAATATTTGCTTTTTTTACTTGAGTGCATTTATATTTTATAATATATATATATATATATATATATATATATATATATATATATATATATATATATATATATATATATATATATACATACACGAGTTTGGTGTTATGTTTTCCTTATAAGGGCTTACAAGATTAATTTTGAATACTACTGGCTACGACTAAACAACCACGACTAAACAACCATTGCTTCCAGAAATGCTGGGTACGGCTAACCACAGTCCTTACCTCTTACGTTTGGGGTCGTACTGCGACAGGACCTGGAGAAGTTCCTCTAGGGTCACACTGTTGTCGATGTTGGCGTCCATCGCCCCAAACATTTTCTGGGGAGTAGTGCACATCCATTGGGTTAGAGCAGTCTCAGGCAGTTAGAGTATGGAGACAGATCATGTATAGAAGTTAGTGCTGGTACAACTTTTAAAACTCTACACATTGTGTTCAAACTGTTTTTTTTAATTAGAAATGCTTTATTGCTGTTTTTTTTAAATATATTAATCCCTTTTGAATTATTAAAAAAAAAAGGAATAGGGCCTATATTATGTTCTTCCATATTTTTTCTTTAAAGGGAATCAACTCAGTAGTTTTGACAGCGTTAACGTAATTTGGTTATTTCCCCTGAAAAATTGAGAAAGGGGCGGTCACTCACTAGTTGTAAGGATATGTGGCAACAGTGGGAGGAGGGGGGGGGTCAAACTACAAAATTGCGTGATGGAACCATACCTTCCCCAACTCCCCAGTCTACCCTCCTATAAAATACAAGTTGTTTTTTTTTTTTTTTTGTTGTTTTTTTTAATAATAAAATAAGCGTCTGCGCAGTTTCAATGTCGTGACTTAGCTAATCCGTGACTGTCCAGCGGATTACCTTAATCTCCTCATCGCTTTTGTTGTCCCCACACTTGTGTAGCACCTCACACAGCTCCCCCACAGAGATGCTGCCACTGCTGTCCGTGTCGGCTAGGTGGAAGAACAGCACCACCTGCTCGTCAAAGTCAGTGGACGCCATCTTGCCTGCTGTCTGCTGTCTCACACTCTACAGGAGGGCTGAAAACTGCTGTCTGCTGTCTCACACTATCTACAGGAGGACTGAAAAACAAAGGGCAAGGGTTACACAGATCCTTCCTAGCGCCCGGGGACAAACTTTCGATTTGCACCCACCTTTCGAACTTATGATTTGCACCCCCCCCCCCCTCAAACTTTCAATTTGTTTTTCCAACCCATTTTGGCGCCCCGCCCCCTAAGGTCGGCGCCCGTGGACATATGACCCCCCCCCCCTCGCTATACCTCTGGGGTTACACCGAGGTCAATATTTGATCCGAGACAACATTTTGATCAAAGAGGAAAATATGATCTAGGACAAGACTTAGATCTAGCACAAAAATTTGATCTAGCACAAAGATTTGATCTAGCACAAAAATTTGATCCAAACATTTAATCTAAGATAAAAAAAATAAATCCCAACTTAAACTTGGAACTAAGTTAAACAAATATTTGATCTATGACAAAATATTCATTAATATTTTGAAAAGTAAGTCACTAATCTGATCAATGCCAATATTTGATCACTGTCAAAACTTTGAGCAGTCAGGAATTTGATTTGTCAGTAATGTAATCAATGTTAGTAGTCTAGTCAGTGATGTGATCTATGTCAGTAATTTGATCTATGCCATAAATGTGATTTCAGGAATGTGATATAGGCCTACATCAGTGATTTGATTCGTCAGTGATGTGATCAATTATTGGAATTGTGAAATACGTTAGTAATTTGATTTGTCAGTGATGATATTTATTCAATGAATGTGATATTTGTCTGTAATTTGATGTGTCAGTAATGTGATCTATTTCAGGAATGTGATTCATGTAAGTAAAATGGATGATTTTTAAATATCACTAAGTGGTCTATCATGAAATGTAAAGATCACGTGACATTCCTACATCACGTGATGCATTTAACCAATGAGAAACTGAAATGAGCGGCAAGAAAACAATGACGTTGACGTGAAGTATTTGTTCAAAGTCTGGTTGATCAAGTGTACCAAACTTGTGGAGTCAGTGACTCATGATCACTCTGGTAAACCTGTGGAGTAACTCGTCTTTTCGATGTGGGGAGGGAAGGGGGGTGAGGGAGGGGGAAGTATTCTCACATGATGGTTAGTTAATAATTTTAGCAGTATAAGTTTTCTACTTAAAATGTGGAGTAATAATAAGCAACCATATACTTCTTGTATGGCTTTTAAAAACCGCGAACGGAGGGGTGGGTAAAGAGCAGACATTTTTCTCCGGGCGGGGGGGGGGGGGGGGCAACTTGATATTTTCGGGGGGGGGGGGGGGTTCCGGGAAGGCGGACACTAGTAAAAGTATATGTTTTCTATATAAATTCCATTTCGGTCAGGGGACAGAGGCCCCCCCCCCCGCCTGGAAGAAACTCCGGGGAAGAGTTATAAATAATTCACGTCATAGGGCTTCCCCCTCCCGAATTTTATATTTTCACACGTCGACAAAAAAATATCAAAACAACAAATTTTAACACAAGTTGATGTTTATACAATCCGATTTTAATCAAAAATAAAATAAATTCGGTGTCACGTTTCTTCGTCTACTCCCCCCCCCTTCCCTGCACAGATCACATCGCCACAAAAGTGTTATTTTGAATAGTCTAGAACTAAACCATTTCAGTGTCGCTAAACGTGCTTTTGAAAAGTATAATTTTTAATACAATTTACTGTGTGTAACCTTCTAAAAGTTAAAGTTGTATATGGCACGTCTTCTTTCCTAACATCTACCCACCCCAGGTGATGCAATATGACACAATAATAAACCAACCAGAAACTCCATAAATTTTATTTGAAGGAATCTGGTCTTGAATAACGATGTTTTCACTGCAAATGTTAAAAAGCCAATTGTTGGATATAGCCATTATCTTAATGCAAATGTTAAAAAAACAACAAGTCTGTAAAAGCCATGTTATAATGTAAAAATGTAAGAATAGCACGTCTAAACTCCCAATGATTGAATGTAAGAAACCCGACAGCTAAAACACAAGCTTTAACTTCAAACTTTACCTTTTTGGTGAAGAACGAACCGCTGGATGAGGGGATGTGGACATGCAGGTAGGACTCGTCACAATGACTGTTTGTTTTACCTTTGTTTGCAACTGGGGGGGGGGGGGGGGTGAAGTATGGGCGGGGGCGTAGTAGGTGGCGTATTGATTGTGCGCCATGCCAAAAGCTTGTTGTAAGATTGAACAAACTGGTTTGAATATCTGGTAGTTGTAAGGTCACTGTTCGCTTTGAAATCTCGTCTAGCTGGAAAATAGAAGTGAACAAAGATGGAAAATAGACCTGAACAAAGATGGGGATTAGAACTAAAAGAAATGATGGAAAATATATTCGAAAGGAGCTTATCATTGAAAGCATCCCAATAAGTGTTAGTCAGCATGAGGACTGCAATAGTCAATGATAGATTTAAAGTTATGCTATGCAGGGTGTGTAAGGGTTTTTGGAAAGTCTTTGTTTTCATTACACAGTCACAGTCAGGTGAACATTTTAAATTTCAGATCATCGGGTGTGTGAACAGGTGCGTGTCTTTACCTGTAGGTGTGCGAGCGTGTTGATGACTGTGTTAGTGTGTGTGTGAGTGTGTGTGTGTGTGTGTGTGAGTGTGTGTATGTGTGTGTGAGTGTGTGTGTGTGTGTGTGAGTGAGTGTTATTACTTAAAACCACAATGATGTGTTCTAATTGTGAATGAGCAAACACGCGCGAAATTCATTCAGCAAAATTCTTTCAAACATAAATACCAATGTACAAATCAAAGCCGTGTAATCGCGTGATAGAAAAATAAAAAATCTAAAACAAATAAAACACCTGCCGCATATCTGCCTACAAGGTAAGTCCTGTCTATTGTTACAGCAACTTGGTTGAGCCGTTAGATCTAGCTATTTATAGAACAACACAGTGAAACATAACTGCTGACACGTATACTATTTTATTACGTGTTAAATCCACTTTAAAACTGGGTGGGGAAAACATCAAATTAGGAAGCCATCAGCTCACTAGAGAATATAATCCAAGGGATGTTATCCATGTATTAGTGACAATTTTTGAATTATTGGAGTTGTCTTTCTACTTGAGAGAGAATTTTGTACCGCATAGAACTCTTAAATAAACGCGTCTCACAGTATACACTTTAAATATGTCATAAAATCTGAACCTAGCATATAAAGCCCGAATCACGCAATGTATTAAAACATTTTATTTGAATATTTATTTATAAGGCTAGCAACATATTTTTTTTTGGCAAAAATTTAAATTCTTGAAAATTTCCAGAATTCCTCGCAAATGGAAACAGTCAGCGACGCAAACAATAAAGGTAATAAACGAGTTACTACAAAATTAATTCAACATTTTTCAAAGAACGTGCTACACGACTGGTAAAGAACAAAATAAATTTTTCAAAGAACGTGCTACACAACTGGTAAAGAATAAAACAAATTTTCAAAGAACGTGCTACACAGCTAGTAAAGAATAAAAACAATTTTTAAAACACGAGCTATAGATCAGACAGAAAGCAGACTAGGGTTCTTAAGTTATCGGTAAAGATAATCTGCCTATTATCGTTCCTGAAAGCCATACTCCAGCTTAGTTGCCTCCCCTTCCCGTGGTATTTCCATCTCGCTAGCTGTTCGTTACTAGGCCAAGAAAAGGTCAACGTTTCAAATACAACGGTAGGTTTCCACCTGCATACATATATATATATATATATATAAATATATATATATATATATATATATATATATATATATATATATATATATATATATATATATATATATATGTGTGTGTGTGTGTGTGTGTGTGTGTGTATATGTGTGTGTGAGCGTGTGTGTGAGCGTGCTTGTCATGTATGCTCGATGTGCAGGTGGAAACATATATATATATATATATATATATATATATATATATATATATATATATATATATATATATATGTATATATATATGTATATATATATATATATATATATATATATATATATATATATACCAACTTACTATATGTAGGCTTGCACTGTACACATGATACATTCAAACAATTCTTTATTACTAATAGCACACATACAACAGGACAACACATTTACAACAGCACAACAGGACAGAACATACGCACACAAGAGGACAACACATACCCACATACACACAAATTTAACTGGCATGCTATTAGTTGTAAAGACACCACACAGAAAAAATACGTTTTTCCAAAGAATAAACACAAACATTCTAAAAATAAAACATTCAGACCAATCAAAACACGGCCAGACCAACAGCGCGTCACAAAAAACTTAAGTAAAGAAAACACACAGAAAATAGAAATTTATTATAATCGTAGTCATTGAACACAGTATAGAACATTAAAGTAGAACGTTATATTGACATAGCTAATGAAGCAACAATTGGTAATGAAAAACAAGTGATGACTATTGATACTATTTTATTGACGTAGAGTTTTCATTTCACCAAATTTACCGACATTTTTTCTTCTTTAAAATTTTAATTAAAATTCTTAAACTTTTTTTGTTTAAAATCGGGAAACATTTGAGTGATTTGACTCTTGAGTTGTGTTTGAAACTACTAACAACAAATGTGTAACATTAATTATGTAACAAAAAGAAGATAGAAAAAAAAATACTCAAAAAAGAAAAAAAAAAAGGAAGAAAGAAAAAGCAACTTGAGAACGATTTTTTTTCAATCTGCCACATGTTAAGAACAGTAACTCCGGTAGTCGAAGATTGTATATAATAAGTGAGTAACGTAGAGTAGCTGCCCATATACACCCTAGCACAGATGGTTTGGTGTCTGCTGTTCGCTAACTTGGGATCATTTTACTGATGGCGCTTCTGGGGTTTCGCCTGATTTCTTTGTGTCGTCTGCTACCACTGTACTCGCCCTGCTGTATTTAGATTCACGCCTTCTACCCTAAACATCGAGACCCACGTGACTACCGTATGGCTGAATCCTTGGACGTTCGCTCAAATATGGCAGAACTCCACAGCCGTCTTCAACCATTTTAGTCTACACACAGCATATAACATGCACATGCGCACTGAATGAGAACACATATAGTAAAAAATGTGTTTTAAAAATTCCGAAATCTTTTTTACATCTGTGTTACAGTCTCGTTCTGACCAAGATATCATCACTCATGCTTGACGTCACCGACTTAAACTAGTGCTCTCCCCTCTTCACGTTTCGAGGTAAAAAAAAAAGTTACTTCCCTTGAACTGGGTTATCGCCCCTCCTTACCTGTCTGACAAGAATGAGTTCCCGTCGCAGTTTTCTTCTCCCGTCAAAGTTTACTTTCCCGCAAGCCAAGCCACATCAATAATTTTTAAAAAAAATTTTGTTCTAGATAAGTCTAGAACTTGATGTTCCAGGTTTAACATTCACTACAATCACGCCACATTTTGTGGTCTTTGTGGTCGCAGATCTCTGTTTAAGTGAACTTTAACACTCAGGACCGCCCCCCCCCCCGCGCCCACCACAGAATAGATGACTAAACACAAACCCCAGTAAAAACTGGGATTAACACATACAATCTACATCACTGAGCCTAACACACCTATCATATTCCGTCACGCATTCACAAAGCACAACATCACAATAACATAACAATATCACAATATGTAGCATGGTATGTTCCCTCTAATAGGGACCAAACATTCCCTCAAGTAGGACAATGTTCCCTCAAGTAGGACGTGTTCCCTCAAGTTGGACATGTTCCCTTAAGTAGGACATGTTCCCTTAAGTAGGACGTGTTCCCTCAAGTAGGACGATGTTCCCTCAAGTAGGATACGTTCCCTCAAGTAGGACATGTTCCCTCAAGTAGGACGTGTTCCCTCAAGTAGGATATGTTCCCGTAAGTAGAAAAGTTTGTTCCCTTAAGTAGGACGGGTTCCCTCAAGTAGGACGATATGTTCCCTCAAGTAAAACAACGTGTTCCCTCAAGTAGGACATGTTCCCTTACGTAGGACATATTCCCTCAAGTAGGACAATGTTCCCTTAAGTAGGACGATGTTCCCTCAAGTAGGACGATGTTCCCTCAAGTAGGATACGTTCCTTCAAGTAGGACATGTTCCCTCAAGTAGGACGTGTTCCCTCAAGTAGGATATGTTCCCGTAAGTAGAAAAGTTTGTTCCCTTAAGTAGGACGGGTTCCCTCAAGTAGGACGATATGTTCCCTCAAGTAAAACAACGTGTTCCCTCAAGTAGGACATGTTCCCTCAAGTAGGACGATGTTCCCTCAAGTAGGATACGTTCCCTCAAGTAGGATATGTTCCCTCAAGTAGGACGTGTTCCCTTAAGTAGGACATGTTCCCTTAAATAGGACATGCTCCCTCATGTAGAACGATATGCTCCCTCAAGTAGGACAATATTTTCCCTCAAGTAGGATGTTCCCCTCAAGTAGGACATGTTCCCTCAAGTAGGACATGTTCCCTAAAGTAGGACGATATGTTCCCTCAAGTAGGACATGTTCCCTCAAGTAGGATGTTCCCCTCAAGTAGGACATGTTCCCTCAAGTAGGATGTTCCCCTCAAGTAGGACATGTTCCCTCAAGTAGGACGATATGTTCCCTCAAGTAGGACATGTTCCCTCAAGTAGGATGTTCCCCTCAAGTAGGACATGTTCCCTCAAGTAGGACATGTTCCCTAAAGTAGGACGATATGTTCCCTCAAGTAGGACATGTTCCCTCAAGTAGGATGTTCCCCTCAAGTAGGACATGTTACCTCAAGTAGGACGACATGTTCCTTCAAGTAGGACGATATGTTCCCAACCGAAATGACCAATGTTCCGCTTCCCCCCCCCCCCCCATTATGTGTTCCACCATTTTACTGTTCTAGAACTTCCCATCTCTACTCACTGAGCTCACGACTTACTTTAACACAGAGAGAGGAAAAAATCATCCACAATTTTTTTTTCTACACGTTTTGACTTACCTTGGCTCTGCATGTGAACGCACCTCTAGCCCCACCTCCCCACCCCCTCCCCCGGGCAGGTATCTCATCTTAAAAGCGAAAGCACCGGCGTTAGTCACCCCAGTTTTGTGCGGGCTGCGTAACTCAACCGTGCATTACAGTATCTCCAGGCGGCGGCCACGGACCCACTTAAAGACTCACGTTTGCCAGATCATTGTTTTCTTTTCTGGCCAACTGACCAAATACCTGTGCCAATTTGACTCACGCACTGCGCCGTAGCTGGCAGATTTACTCACCCTCACCTCGATCTCACCTCACTGTGTTCCAGACGTGAGCCGTGACAACCTGGTCTCAGACAAAATTTTCTCTGGCTCCAGTTCGGGTTTTACATTCACCGACCAAATACTTTGAAATTTTGCTCAACGGGTCTGCATCTAGCTTAACCCGGCGTGACTAAATCGACCAAATCTTCATTCTCTTGACCAAGTTCTAAAGACAAAAATGGTAAGTTGGCCTACTTTTTATTCAGCGAAAATAAAACTTCGAAAATTTTTAAAATCCTTCCTTACCGTTGTCTGAAACATTTAATTTAGGGGTTCATCCATAAATGAAGTCACACTTTTTTGGACGTTTTTTACCTCCCTTTCGTCAGTCACAAAAACCCAACACCCCTTCCCCAGTTTTTATTTTTAAACATTGATTTATTTATAAAATATTTATTTAGCTCGGTCTTCATAGAGTATATTAACAAATGTATGTAACGATTTATTACATAATTTTCGAAAGCTCAAAATTTAGTTTCTAACATAAATTTTAACAGACTATCCTCCCTTATTTCTTATCACACACCGTAACAAAGTTACACACTGTAACAAAGTTACGAACCCCCTTCCCACCTGGGAGCGTTACGTCATTTATGGACGATCCCGTAGACTAGATTTGTATATCCGCACCGGCTTCGAGGCTTAATTCGATTGTTTAAAACAAGGGACATCACTGATGTAATAGTTTTCACTGTGAGTAGTCAGATAAGGTCGAACATTGATTGTCTCCCATTTTATAAATTAAATAAATAAATCTAATGTTTTACTTTTGCGTTTATTTCTACGATAAAAATTCAAATATTTAATTCACAATGGCAGATATAGATGGGATTGCTGTACATTCTTGTGAAAGATATACTAATTCAAACACCCATTCCCATCAGAAAAACATTGTGAATTTAAAAAAAAATTAATTTGAATATATTTCATTTGAGTAGGATTCAGAAACGTGACGTTTATCCAAAACCAGGCTCTAAATATAACTTGCCATAACCATAACCCTGACATCAAAAACATTTACTTTGCGCACATGACACAAAGTTTTTTGTTCGTTTTTCTCAAACAATCAATTATCTAATTTGAATTTATCACTGCAATCAATCAAGTAACTAACTTGACCAAGTAAGTTGCAATATAAACTGTTATATATATGGTAAATGTTGGCATGCCAGGATATATTATATACGTATATAGTGACTATATAAGTAAGTCGTTAAACCAGCTTACTTAAAGACAAGCTGGGTCTTTCACTTCGACCCGCATGGGTTACATGACCCGTGTTACATGACCCGTGTTTAAAAATTCACTGGGCAGGGAAGGGTAAAGATGAAGACAGTTTTTGCCAATCTTTCAGTTTTTTTATCCGTCGAAGTAAAGAAAAGCCAGCAGGCTTGGATGTCTATTTGTGTAGATCTATTTCTCTTCCACTTTCTTCTCAAGGTGAATGTCTGCTAGATCTCAATGCGCGTGTATGACTCACTGAAGGTGTGCACGTGTGCGTGTAGGTGTGAGTGTGTGTTGCGTGAGTGAGTGTGTGTGTTGAGGTGAGTTCTACCTTCAGACTGTGTTTTACGCCGTGTGTAAAATCACTTAATGAAAAGTGACGTAACTACAAGTCTTGTCTGTTCTGGAAATGTCAGGGATACGACTTTACTAGCAGTGGTGGGTAGGGGGGTGGTGGATCCTAATGCAGGGGGCGGGGGCTTTGAATGGAGGGGGGGGGGTTACGAATATAGGGAGCTACGAATTAAAAGGCTGCAGAGGTCGGGAATTACAAATAAAGAGGATAAAGGCGATGATTGTAGGAGGGCGATGATTGTAGGAGGGATGAATATAGGACGGCTGCTAATGCAGCTAGAATCTAAATTGGACGGGTGCAAATGAAGTGGTGGGGGGGGATGTAATAAATTAGGCGAGTGTTCAGGGTAGGTGCCTGTAAAACATGTGCATGGAGAAGCTGTATGTGGGGGGGGGGGTCTGAATGGGGGGGGCAGTGAACGAGAGGGGGTGGGCTGTGAACGAGAGGGAGGGGGCTATGAATGGGGGGCTGTGAATGAGGGGGGGGGGCTGTGAATGAAGGGGGGCTGTGAATGGGGGGCTGTGAATGAGGGGGGGCTGTGAACGAGAGGGGGGGGGCTGTGAATGGGGGGCTGTGAATGGGGGGGCTGTGAACGAGAGGGGGTCCTGTGAATGGGGGGCTGTGAATGAGGGGGGGGCTGTGAATGAGGGGGGGGCTGTGAATGAGGGGGGGGGGCTGTGAACGAGAGGGGGGGCTGTGAATGAGGGGGGGGGGGGCTGTGAACGAGAGGGGGGGGCTGTGAATGAGGGGGGGGGGGGCTGTGAACGAGAGGGGGGGGCTGTGAATGAGGGAGAGGCTGTGAATGAGGGGGGGGGGCTGTGAACGAGAGGGGGGGCTGTGAATGGGGGGCTGTGAATGAGGGGGGGGGGGGCTGTGAATGGGGGGCTGTGAATGAGGGGGGGCTGTGAATGAGGGGGGGGCTGTGAATGGGGTACTGTCAATGGGGGTAGGCTGTGAATAGATGGGCCTGTGAATAGAATAACTGAATGGGAGAAGGAGTTGTGAAAGGGGAGAGGGGGTTGTGAATGGAAGGAGAAGTGAATGGAGGGTACAGAGACCCCAGCCGCCTATGTCTGGGGTCTGGCAAGGTTGAGCAGCACAGAAAACACATGTGCCATCACCAGTGATGTAGGCAGGCATGGCATGACTGGCAGAGTTATCTACCTGGGCAGGTTTCCGACAATCAAAGAGCAGGTGTAACAATCAAGCTTTAATAGACGTACACAGGTGATTGAATGAATGTCGCTCGTGATTCGTCTAACGAACAATTTGTCTACAAAATTAGCTCGTGAATTAAAACACGGAAGCGGATTGTTTTCTGTCTAAAATTGGAATGGTAACACGTTGAACTTCTTTAGTGTGTAACCATCAGGGTCGTACTATTTTAGTGAATGTGTGGTCAAGACCTACATGTTTTAGTAAACGTGTGGTCGACCTACTTACCTGTTTTAGTGAACGTGGTCAAGACCTACTTGTTTTAGTGAACGTGGTCAAGACCTACATGTTTTAACGAATGTGTGGTCAAGACCTACCTACATGTTGTAGTGAACGTGGTCAAGACCTACTTGTTTTAGTGAACGTGGTCAAGACCTACATGTTTTAACGAATGTGTGGTCAAGACCTATCTACCTGTTGTAGTGAACGTGGTCAAGACCTAGGCCTACCAGTTTGAGCGAACGTGTGGTCAAGACCTACCTACCTGTTTTAGCGAACCGATTTTAAGGATTTGAAATTTTAAATGGTTTACCATACACCGGTACACATCATTGCTTTTGTCACCACATAAGTTGAGATGTGACGTATGTCACCACATAAGTTGAGATGTGACGTAAATTGTGTTGTTTGAGCTTGAAATTGGTTGTCCAAAAAAAAAAACACAACAAGATACTCCTAAGTTAAAGACATTTCTTCATTTTACTGTCCATGCTACTCCGTGAAGCAGACGTTACTCAGCTCATTATAGAATTGGTAGACACACGTTCAGTTACTAACCGGCTAGGAAGTTGTATCTTTCAGAAACAAAACTAGAGCATTCTAGAACATATCTCATCTACTTGTTATTGCATAGAGTTTGGTGCCATGTGGATAGTGGCTAACGTAGAATGGATAATGGATGACGGGTAGCGGAAACAAGCAGGTGGAGGGTGGATAACGGAGAGTGGATACTTATCCATGTTACGCCTGTCTAGAGCTACCGGTGTATTTGAGATCAATTACAGCAGTTACTGTAAGGAATTCTAAGGGTTAATGTAAGGGGTTCGAAGAGTTCCTGTTGGGGGTTCGATAAGTTATTCCTGGGGGTTCGAAAAGTTCGAAAATCACACCTCTACAGACAAAGACGACCCGCATAAAGACACAATCGGATGCGAGAAAAATACAAGCTGACCTTTGACACATCGCCTCGGAAAGGTCACGGACGGAAGTGGCATTGAGGTCACGTTATCTGCCAGGTAAACTTGACACACAATCTTTTCTCGCCAGGTAAACTTGACACACAATCTTAACGCACGCGAAAAAGATGCGAGCCATGATTGCACGTGAGTTCAGCTTTATCGTAAACGTCACGCGACTAGCCCTCAGTCTTTAATCAGCTACATCAGACATCTCATCTAACTAATTAACATTCTGCCCCGCTCAATCAGCCGGTGATTCTTTGTTTACCCAAGCATTCCTGCCGCTAAAAATCCTCATAAAAACACCGTCAACAATCCTCATAAAAACATCGTCAACAATCCTCATAAAAACATCTTAAAAACCCCTCATAAAAACATCTTAAAAACCCCTCATAAAAACATCTTAAAAACCCCTCATAAAAACATCTTAAAAACCCCTCATAAAAACATCTTAAAAACCCCTCATAAAAACATCTTAAAAACCCCTCATAAAAACATCTTAAAAACCCCTCATAAAAACATCTTAAAAACCCCTCATAAAAACATCCTAAAAACCCCTCATAAAAACATCTTAAAAACCCCTCATAAAAACATCTTAAAAACCCCTCATAAAAACATCTTAAAAACCCCTCATAAAAGCATCTACAAAACTCCTCATAGAAACATCGTCAACAATCCTCATAAAACATCTTAAAATCTCCTCACAGAAACATCGTCAACAATCCTCATAAAAACATCGTCAACAATCCTCATAAAACATCTTAAAAACTCCTCACAGAAACATCGTCAACAATCCTCATAAAAACATCGTCAACAATCCTCTTAAAAACATCGTCAACAATCCTTATAAAAACATCTTCAAAACTCCCCATAGAAACATCGTCAACAATCCTCATAAAAACATCTTAAAAACTCCTCATAGAAACATCGCCATAAACTCAACTACGGATCAAATCTTATCAGCTATTTTTAGAAAATAAAACTGACGCTGGATTGTGTCGCTTATCTCATCACTCTTAAAGTTCGGGGAGGTGAGGGTAGGAGCGGGGATGCGAAATTTTGTAACGAGCTAAAAGGGCGGGGGGGGGGGGTGGGGGTGGGAATGCGGTGTTAAAAACTAGTTGATATTTTTAAAAAATGTTTTAAATTTGTTCAAAAGTATAACCAAAATGTAAACATGTGATTTCTCTGATGGATCATTGTTGCGGA